TTAGACCTACATAGTGAAACAGCATTGGTTTTCAGAGTAGCATTGAAGACTCTCTGCGATTCCCTTTAGTCTTCCCCCTCAGACTTGGCAATACTTGCTTTTGGTTTTGAGCAATAATGGCTGGAATCCTGTGAATCTAATGCACCTTTTCTTTATAAGTTTCTAGTTCTCCTATTAGCATGTTCAAAACTTTAGTTTGATTTTTGAAGGCTAAAATCTGACAGCTGAAGTTAGTTTCTTGAAATGAAGCATATAATGCTATGTCTAAGTACCATTATATGCTGAATTTCATTCCAGTCCTTATTTCATATGCTTGAGTCTGATAATGTAACTTCAAGTGTCTCTTGCAAGGAAGCAGTCCTATTATCCTATTCTTAAATTAAAATGGCATGTTTCCCTATGACCTGACTGTTGTGTGGGAAAGGATTATATACTGCTGCTTTTGCATTTCGTAGCATTAAGCTATAACATCGGGTGCCTCCTCAGCGCTCTTTGATCCAGAAAGTACCTGTGCTTGGCTGAGCTTCTGGGGAACTTGTACTTCTGAGAAGCTACTGCCCTCTTTCCTCATAAGATTTGGGAGAAGTGTTAACGAATACAGTTTTGCTGAACTTTTGTTTTAGCAACGATGGGTAGCTCTTACCATGGATAAATTTGTAGGGAAAGAATGTTTTTGTGACCTAAAGTGGTCTTTTAAACCAGTGTTCAGTTTGCTGGCTTAAGTTGTAGTAAATGCAAAAATAGACAACCTAAAGCAGTTACTTTTAGAGTCTGGCAACAGATAAACTGCCTGTTGGTGTCCTGTTACATGACAAAAAGCTAGCAGTAGGAATAATGGGTAGCTGTTTCTCTGCAACCTGATGATAGAGAGTTTGAAAAGGTCTGAACACTGCTCCATTTAGCTGTGAGGTCTCTTTATGAAATGCAGTGTCCTTTGCTTTCATTGTCAAAGCCTGATCAGATCTCTGCTCCAATTGCTTGTACACTGACGCAATGGCTGTTGTTGTTGTAGTAGAATAATGCTTTGAGCTGATGTGCGTGCTGTAGCCTTACTGTACCACCACTGAAATGTTCCAGGGACAAAATAAAGCCCAGTATTCTCTTTGGGAGAGGTGCGCTTACTCTCCTGTGGCAAGGATATTCTTACCACACAGAGCTGGTTTGTGCTAATAAGAGATTGAGAAGTATTTTCCTTTCAGTTGCATTAGCAGTTGGGAAATAATGTACATAATTTTGCGTCTGTTCAGAAAAGGCATTGTTGAAAGGCTCTGAAAAAAATAGGCCATCAGGCTGGCTGTTTGCATTATCAGCCTGAGTGACCGGAAGAATTGGATTACTTCTGTGACACTGAGGGAGCACTGAACTCCGTGTGGTGCTTGCCTTGGGCACAATTCAGGGCTCTGCATGCAAATATCACCTGCTGGCCAGCTAAAAACTGAGATCCACTACAGGCTTAAAGATGTCTATAGGAAAATCTTACCTCAGTTGTTCACCTGATGATTAACCTGCTGTGTTTCATAGAAGTACACTAGAAGTTACAGCCAAACCCAGAACGGATATCTCTAATAAACGATGTCTGAGCACTTGCCAGGTGGCAGTTTTGGATAGGAGGCCTGGTGGGTTTTGTATATGTGATAAAGTCAGGTTTAATTCTTGCTGTTGCAGCTCGTACATGCTGTGTCCTCTGTGTGTGTCGGTTTTCATCCAGCCTGTGCTAGAATCCTTGCAGTTAAGATGGGTGAATGACCCTGCAAGCCAATTTGTCTGGAAGGGTGCTGGGGGAATAGGTATATTAGATGCACTTAACTAATGTGGCAGCAATGGATCAAATCAGTAGGCCACTTTATTGAAAAGAAAAGCACGAGCATGCTCAAAATAGTAGCTAGCTACTGTCACATTTCAATATGTATGTCGATACTCTTATGGGTTGCTTTTTTTTATTTATTAGCATTTCTGGAGCAATTAGTGTCACGGTATGGCACAGTTTAACCCTAACCAAAATAGAAAGCCAGGTCAGCAATTCCCTTCCCCCTTGCATTCTCTTGCCAATGAATTCAAGTTTGGTGGTGCTATATAGATGGTCTGTTATTGCCCAGGAAGAAAGGTAAAATGGTTTTAGGTAGTTGATAAGTGTAAATTTCTAATGGGGTTATTGAGCTAGGTGCTTCAGCGCAGTCTGTTCCAGGTTGCTCCATATTGTTCTGATTTGAACATAGCTGGATGAGAAGTGCTGCCTGCATTGTTCCAAGAAGGCTGAGAATATATAAGAAATTAATGTAAAAATCTTATTCACCATTTTTCCCTTAAGCATGATAGCAACTTGCAATTAAAAAAAAAAAAGATAATTATATTGAGCAGTGGGTTTTTTTGTTTTTTTTCTTGAGGGCCCTATAAGGTCACCTAGCTCCCTTAGGGGTTCAAATAAAAGCAATGAGAAAGATCAAAGTTGGAAAAGCTCAAAGCATCATTGTTTCCAACATTAAGTCAGGTTGGCTGGAGCTCTGTCTAGTTGGTCTTGAAAATCTCCAAGGATGGAGACTGCATAGTCTCCAAGTGACCTGTTCCAGAGCTGCTCTGCTCTCCTGACACACAAACTCCTACCATAAGAGCCAGGCTGTTTCGGATCTCTGGCTTGCACCAGCAATTTCTAGTTTCCAGTGGAGTCATCTGATCAACTCCCTTCCCCCCACCCCCAGCTGTAGTGCCTGGGCTAGAGCAGTCCAAAACATTCGATTTTTATCATTGCTGTGTTAAGTCTTGTTTGCCTGATTTTTGGAGAGAAGCCAGCAAGCATTTTATTTTGCAAAATGATATGTGCTAAGCACAAATTTCAGAGTAATTAAATTATCTTGACTTCAGCACAAAAGAGAATAGTTTGATCGAAAATTACACTACTTAAATACAAGACAGTGCATTTTAAAATGTCAGTCAGATTACTCTCTAGAGTTTAAGAGCTTTCCTTGCAAAATTGTAAAATACAAATACTTTTTGCCTGTTTGGTGTAGAAATAGTCAATGTGAGGAAGCATTCTGTTTCCCTGTACCTTATTTTGAAATACTTTCCTGTATATCATCGCGCTCTTTCTCCTGCTGCTAGTCTAATGCAAAAGATAGGAAACAGCATCTTGAAGTAGTCAGAAGAACATGAAATTGCTAAATATTGGAGCATTTCCTAGACCTAGGCATCTTTTGTGAGATTGCCTCCTTTGATATGAGAAGGTAGCTGATATCTCCAATCTGGCCCAGACCGGGGCTAATTAATCATCTTTGAAGAACACTTGAGTACAAAGGAGTAACTCTTGTACTCGCTCTTTGCCTTGATCTTGCTGAAGGACAAAAGGTGGATGCACAGCACCGTGACCAGGTTCCTATTTAAAAGGAGAAAAGCAGATGCAGAGGGTTGGGGTGATTTGTGCCGGCTCTGCCCGTGTGCTGCCTGTGCCCTTCCCGGCTGGGCCAGCAGTGGACAGAGAGGGGTCCCCGCCGGGGACCACCGGTGGGATGTGGTGCTGCTGCTGTGCCGGGGCTGGGCTGAGCCCGGTTCCCGGGGACGTGCAGCGCAGCCCGGGGCAGCGGCGGAGCCCCACGCTGCTTCCTGGTGCCCCCTCCCGGTAAGCTCTGTCACAGTTCAAATTGGTCTGTGCATCATCTGCCCGAACAATTAATTTAGCCTTATGCAAGTTTCACAGGTTGCTATTTATCTGCTGAAAAAGGTCTTCAAAACTCACTGATGAGCTCAGAAAAGCACAGAGCTTGACTGTAAAGAAGGTGTTTTTTGTAGGCTATCCAGGAGGTGAGCCATGACCCCCAGCCTCACTACTAGTCTGGTTTACGTGTGCCCTTCCCTTGCTGTAGCATAGTCTGAGGAGATCAGCTACATCCCCACTGTATGGTGCGTGGTTCCTGTGTGCCTTGTGCCCCAGGCTCCAAGACACAAAGAAGCCCAACAAAATACAAGCAATTTCAAAGTTTCTGAAATAAGAGTGGCAATTACAATTTTTATTTTAGCATTATAGTGGTGGCACATGTCTTGTCCGGGTGAGTGATACAGGAAAGTGGAAAGCCTCTTGAGAGGGAGTTGGAGAACTGTCTGGTGCAGCCTGCAGCAGTATTACATGCTTGGACCAGGCTTGGGAGCAAATTATCCTGTCTGCTTCGCTAGGATTTTCTTGAGAGAAGTCACTGCACTGCTGCCAGGTTTTCCTTCCAGAGGGAGCAAGTCTTTTTGTTTTGCTGCTGGTGAGGGGACTGGGGCTGGGACTGAAACAAGAAGCCACTCAAACATGCCGTAGCTGCTGGTGTGGTGTAAAGGGTCCATACATAAAGCATAAGCCCAGTGTTGCCGTAATGATTATTTGAGAAGCAGTGGAGTTGCCGTGTCTTAACCCTGGGTTATATTACTTAGCATCATTTGAGCGCTGCTTTGTTTCACTGCCTCTTGTAGCATTTATCTTCTACCTAATGTAAGTCCTTTCTTGTGAAGGCTACCATTTGATGGAGTTGATGTAGTACTGAACACAGTGGGAATCAGATTGCTGATTAGGACTTGTAGATACAGCAATGAAAAAGTTTAACTTACAGGAACATCTTGTAATATTTTTCTTTGATGTGGCTTCAGTTTAGGGAATTGATACCTGGAAACTTGATCATGCTACATGACCTACACTTGGATACTTAGCCCTCTCTTTGTTGACTTACTCTGCCTGAGAGTAAAAAACTCTTCATCCTTTTTGCCCTTATTTTCCTCACACTGAAATGAAAGGCCGATATTATATTGTGTTTTTGAAGGTTCTCTTTAAATACGAATATTGAAATACCATAGAGTTAATGAAGTGGTGAGACATTTCCAGCCTCTCTTGACCTGCAAGCTTTGTACTTGTCTAGAAGAAAAAGTTTTTAATGTGTAGCTGAGCTGAGGACACTTGTGTAATAATGAATTTTACATTCCTGACAATACATGACATTAAGTAATTAATTACAAATGTTGCTTTGTCTTTTCAGTACATCAACTGTGGTAACCTGGAGCAGCTATTAGATGGCAACCAGCATCTGCCCTGGACAGTGAGGGTGAAACTGGCGTATGACATTGCTATGGGAATCAGTTATCTTCACTATAAAGGCATTTTCCACCGAGACCTTACATCTAAGGTACCGTTTATAAAATGAAGGGAACTTTTTAATGAGGTAATATAACTGGGTGTTTGATTCTTTCTTCTCCATCCAGCAGAAGAGTTCTATTATATAAAGTGTGATCTAAGACATCTTAAGAAACAAATTGAACAGACACTGGAACAGGCTGTCCAGGGTGGTGGTTGAGTCACCGTCCTCGGATGAGTTTAAGAGTCGATCAGATGTGGTGTTGGGGGATATGGTGTAGGGAAGAACTTTGTAGAGTAGGGTAGATGGTTGGACTTGATGATCCCAAGGGTCTTTTCCAACCTAAGTGATTCTATGATTCTATGAAATACAGTTTATAGGATTAAAACTTTCCTCAAAACATGTTGATAGTTTATATGGGAACTGGAGAAATTACTATCCTGAAGGAAGGTCATTCCTTAAGCAAGTTCAGATTAAGATTTCTCAGAAAGCAGCTGTAGGTTTTTTTTTTAATTCTGAATTATGGTTCAGTAAAGTATTTAAATCCCCAGATAATTAAGCATAACAATCTAGCATTTGGAACGGGTCAATGATATAAGAACCCAAATTGAGGAGATCATTATAACCACACTTAAAAATCTCCTTGTTTTTGTTTCCCCATATATTTCACAAATTTTCTTCAGTAAGAAGAATGACCTTTCATTACTAATTCAGCATTAAGCATTGTCCTCAATCCTGGTTTATATTTCTTTCATTTCTAAAGCTAGGAATATCAAAACAGTTTGCATAAAATTTTCAAATTTCAGGATTTCTTCCAGAGTGATATTTCAGTGGCAGAGTTTTCAATGGACGTGGATTTGTTTGAACTGCTTTGGTGACAACTTGTATGAATTTGGTTGCCTGAAGTAGCCAGCTAATTCAATCTCAGCTAGAAATACTGACATAAGAAGGCTAAGCTCAGTGAACAAATTGCCCCAGTATTCACACTGGGTCTTGCCATCCGTTGCAGCCGGTGCTGAGGGCTTTGCTGTCCTGTCTCTCCTGTTGTCTGGAGCTAATGAGCTGATTTAAGCTCACTGGGGGCTTGAAGCATGAAAGTACTACAAAACTGGTTTTTGAGAAGTCCTCGTAAGGTCACTTCAATCAAAAGCATCCAGAAGAATGTTAGCCTAGCCTAAAAACAACTTGGGTTTTGTTTTTTTTTAGGATTAGAAATGGCTTTTAAAAATTAAAACACAGCACACTGTGCTTGCAAATGCAAGTGGCTACTAGTCCTCCATCCAGTTTAAGGTTTTTTTTAAAGCTACCTCGGTGCAGTGTTGAACAGAGGAATGATATGCATTTAACCAAGGCGGGGGGAGGGGGTGAGGAGGAGGAATAGTTGAATTGGTAGGTGAAAGAAGTATTTCAGTGAAGTCATAAAATACTACCTTGGGTGGCCTTTCGAGTGAAAGGTGCTGAATTCTGCAAGGAAGAGTATCAAATTTATGAAAAATACCCAGACTTGAAGTCACATCACTTTGACATGATACACTTGGAAAGCTCTATTTCAGTCACCTTGGAGTGCGCAGATAAGAGATGCGTAAAAATAACTGAAAAGATAACTTGGTGTTTCCTTTTTTTTCCAGTTCAGGATGTGTTTTAGTACCTGTAAAAGTGGGGAAGTGGAGTTACTGTAAGGAACCAAAGTAACTAAGGAGAACTCTGTGCCTGTAGCATTTATCGTAACACATACTGTGATGGCTAATCGTATGAAAATCCATTTCCTGAGACCTCTGTGAATGCCTTTGTTCAAAGCTTTACATAATTGTGTGTCATTCTCTGGAGCTGCCCTACCAATGCTTCAATGTTATCTATTGTTGAATGTCAATTGTTTAGAAAACGCACCCGCTGGGAGGAGTGTATGATTTCACTGCAATAGCAAACTCATCGGTTGCCACATGAGTAGTAAGGGTTATTTAAAAAAAAAAGCAAACCAAACCCTAAGAATTTACTAGCAGTTATAGTATATTTGGATGATTCTTTGCACTAAAGATATAGTGTCTGTGTGGGTCACACCGGAAGCTATCAGGATAAAAGTTTAAGTCATCGGTTATATTCTGTGTTTTCCATTTTCTTGGGGTTTTTTGGTTTTGTTTTGTGGGGGTTTTTTTGTTTGGTTGGTTTTGGTTTATTTTGTTTTGGTTTTCGTTAATTTAATTTTCTGAGGTGTGATGTGTGCACTTGCTTGTTCTATTTGGGAAGGGAAGTAGATGAAACACTTGGCCTTAAATGCCTGAGAACTTGTGAGTATTATTAGTGTATTATTGTTTTGATGAAATATACTTGAAAATTAAATCTGTTGGGCAAATTACTCTTCTTTTGGGCAAGTGTTTTCACTGCTGGCTGGCTACATTTTAAAGAAGTCACTTTGTTCCAAAGCAAAAGAATTAAGATGATAACCATAGCAAAAACCTGTCACCAGAATTTTCAACTCTCAGACTGTGACTTTTGGCTACTGTTTGAGGATATAACTTGTATTTTACCAGGCCTGTACTAGCAGTGGGATGAGTTGTGATCATTCTTACTAGTAAGCAGTCAATGTGTGAGTGAGCTGAAGGAAGATGTGATGGGGTCTTTCCTTGGGAGAGAACTTTTGATCCGGATTGAACAAGGGCAGATTCAATACTGTTCTTTATTGTCCTTCCTTCTTTGGTAAACATCAGTAATTGATGTGATGGCTTTATTAATCAAATGAAGGCAAAGACAAGGCTTTTCTGACTTTCGCAGATGTCTACAGACACTGAGTTTGCTGAAGGGGAGAGGGAGGTATTTTTCTAGAAAACCTGCTGGCCTTGACTGAACCATGGACAGAATAAAACTGAGACTTTCTGTACAGGAATGTCTCCATGCTTTACCTATTCGGCTTAACACAGTAGCCTACTGCAAATTATTCCTCTAATACGAATTTTACTGTAAAAATTATTTGGGATTAATTTAGACCTGTACTTCTGCCTTTGTTCTTCTCTTTCTGGCAAACCTCTAATTCCTTCAGCTTCCTGGAGCGGGTGGTATGGATGCTTTAAGTTTATCCTGTCAGTTATGGCAACAGAGTTGTATTGCTCTGACGGTAGCATCATTACACACTGGATGCATAAAAATTTAAGGAATGAAAAGTCACAGTTCCTCACCAGTCTAAGACTGAAAAATATATGGTTTTGACAATTAATATACAGCAGGGTGATCTCTCTTCCTAATTGCGCCATGTGGAGAGTAGCAGGAGAGCATTGACACTGCAGAAAGCCAGAGGGAAGAATGGTAGAGAAGAGTAGATGTAGGTCATTGTAGTCGATGTGGCAGCCCACAGGGGATGTCAGCCCTGACATCCCACTGGTGCCCTTCCCGCTGCCCTTCTGTCAAAGAGAGAGGCAGTGCTTGTTAGAAGAGGGTGCGCTGCCCAGACAGCCAGTACTTTACCCATGTCGTGAGCAGTTCAGTCCTCGGGCTCTGGGTGTGGGTGGCTGTAGCTGATGAGGCTGATCTGCCCAGATCAACACCAACAGCCTCGCTCGGATCTGTCAGAAGGTAAGCGTGGTCAGATGGGCTGTTTTCAGCCTCCAGATAGTAGGTGTGTAGGCAGAGTGACTTGTACGTTTTCTAACCCAATAAATGTGGTGTCCTCACTTTTGACTTGCCATCAAGAGATTCATGCAGAGATTAAGCACGCGACCATAAATGCGTTATGACAACCAGCCTCGCTGGCTCATTCCCTGTGCCCTGCCCATCTCACTGCAAGCTCTCTGAATTGTTTATTTGGGGCTCACTGTAATGTGCACAAGGAGAATTTGGACTCTGGAATGATACGGATTTTCTTCATCTTCCAGTGGTTCTGATGTAGGTTCATTTGTGAATTTAGACTCTGACAGCCTTAGTCATAGAAGATGCAGTCATTAAAACAGAAATCATAATGTGAAACATTGGAAGTGTTTCAATAGGAACCAGTGGATTGTGGTAAATTTTTTCTTAATCTGACTTGTTATTGCAAAATCCTGTCTTGTTGCTACCTACAATTAAAATAACTGTGTTTGTGAAGGCACAGGGAAGCGACCACCCTGCAAAAAGAATGTTGCAAAGTCCTTTTGTATCTCACCCCTCAAAATAAATATCTTACTGCTACACAGAGAGTTCCTTCAACACCTTGTTTACACTGTATTTGCATTGCATTCAAACCTGCACTATTGATCTTCCTGGCAGTTTACACCAGTGATTGCCCTAATATCAGTGAATTTATTCTTAACAGTATCTCTGAGGTGGGGGAGATGAATAAACTCAGTCTTACCAGGACAGATTAAAAACAAGAATATTGGTCAGTATTTGATACGTGTTTTAAGACTCAGTTTGAAGTATTTGACATTTTACACATGTTTAAGTTCAAGGCAATATGCTCACTGACCTTAAGGGCAGTTGGAAGTGTATAGCACTTTATAAAATAGTCAGGTTTGACCTTTAGAGGCAGAGAAAGCACAAGATGAGCAACAATCTCCGATTTTGTTAAACTAACTTCCTTGCCACAGAATCCTTCTGTGATGCTGAGGAAGGCCAAAATTCAAATCCTGGGGGAACATTGCAATGGTCTTAGCCACAAAACAGAAGACCTTCATTTTCAGCCCACCCTTTCTTTTTAATCTCTTCCCAGCCTTTCTTTCAGCCTACTGTTTCTGTGGCAAGAGTGGCCAGAGTCCTGAAAATAGCGGTCCGAGTGGTTTATGTACAGCCCCAATTCACTATCAGTGTGAATCCATTGTGTGCACTAAGTGGGTGCCAGGGGGGAAACTATCTGTGTGGTCATGTAATTAAGGACTTTACCTTAATGTGTATGCATAAGGGGACGAATTGAAAGTTCACACAGATAGTTTTACATCTCATCTTTTGTGCATTATTAGTTTTTTTGAGGTAGTGTATGTTGTGTGCAATTTTCTAGCAATTAAAAAGAGGAAAAACATCAGTGGCACTATGCACTTCATTTGCAGGGTTAGAAGCCTGGGATTCACGGCAGAGGCATCTACTGCTTT